TGTGGGTTGGGGTCAGTGTGTGGGTGTTTGGACTAGTGTATGAGGGTTGGGGTCAGTGTTTGGACTAGTGTGTGTGGGTTGAGGTCAGTGTGTGGGTGTTTGGACTAGTGTGTGTGGGTTGGTGTTTGGACTAGTGTATGAGGGTTGGGGTCAGTGTTTGGACTAGTGTGTGTAGATTGAGGTCAGTGTTTGGGTGTTTGGACTAATGTGTGTGGGTTGAGGTCGGTGTTTAAGTGGTGTTTGGACTAATGTGTGTAGGTTGAGGTCGGTGTTTGGAGTACTGTACGGGGGTTAGTGTTTAAGTGGTGTTTGGACTACTGTATAGTGGTCAGGATCAGTGGTTGGTGGGACTAGTGTTGGGGGTCACTAAACCAAACACTGATCCAAATATTTATGGAATTTGGCAGACGCCCGTATCCAGAGCAATTTACAGAAGTGAAAGAGCATTACATTATACAACTGAGTGGTTAAGGGTCTCGCTCAAGGGCCCCGCAGTGGCAGCTTGGCGGTGATGGGATTTGAACTCATGACCATCTGATCAGTAGTCCAATGCCATAACCAGTGAGCAAACACTGATCCAAACCCAAACCACTGAAGAAATCAGCCAAACCCTAAACAAACCCAAAATAAATACTGATGTACAAGGGGAGAAATAAAAAATTTGTGAAAGGAAAGGAGTGAAAAGTCTTTAACTCCTCTGCTCCCTCACTCTCACTCTCAGCTGACCTGATATTTTTAGATTATTTTGAGTTATGTTTATTTTTCCAGAGGCTTGGGCTGAGGGCTGGAATGTGGTTTAACAGGAAGCTAACAACGCTAATCAGCATTCTTCTGTCAAATTAAACACCGCTCACTGTAACAAGACTAGACGAGCCCAGCTGTGCAAGACTGCCATCGACAGTTTACTGTCATACGCACAGCTCTGCTATACTGCTGCTATTCAAGCAACTCTCTGACGGAACCATGGGCTTTGGTTCCTTTGTCTTTCTGTATCATTTTTAATGGCTAATTATCTGGTTAAATACTGAAGGTTGTGGCTACAAACACTAACGTCATTCTTATTCATTAGTGACGATTATTACAGTGACATTTTAAGCGAGAACTGTGATTTAGAGTTAATGATGTTTTTATTCCCGCGTAACTGAACGAATATCTCGCCTCCTCCTGCTCTGTGATTGGCGAGTGCCTCCTTCTCACAAACTGTTCACCAATCAGACGTTTGAGTGTTTAGAGGAGTTTGGATCAGAGTTTGAATTTGCGTTTGGATCAGCGTTTGGGAGTTTGGATCGGAGTTTGGATTTGTGTTTGGATCAGTGTTTGGGAGTTTGGATCAGTGTTGGGGAGTTTGGATCGGAGTTTGGATTTGTGTTTGGATCAGTGTTTGGGAGTTTGGATCAGTGTTGGGGAGTTTGGATCGGAGTTTGGATTTGTGTTTGGATCAGTGTTGGGGAGTTTGGATCGGAGTTTGGATTTGTGTTTGGATCAGTGTTTGGGAGTTTGGATCAGTGTTGGGGAGTTTGGATCGGAGTTTGGATTTGTGTTTGGATCAGTGTTTGGGAGTTTGGATCGGAGTTTGAGAGGTTGGATCAGTGTTTGTAGTTTGAGTCATGTTTGATCCATTTTTTTTTATTGTTTTTAATCATATAGTTAAACACTTTTTAAAGAAAGTAAAGAAAGTAGAAAGTGAACTAAACGTTGCAATGAGGATCTTTTTAAAATAATGAAATGGCAAGAACAAAATGAATGAGCTGTTAATATAGAAATGATCATGTATTAGACCGAGTGCATTAATATAAACCTGCACTACTGTCAGAGCTGCTGTTCTAGAAAATTAATCAACACCTTCTGACCAATCAGAATTAAACAGCACTGTGGTATAAGTTGTTAAGGATATGATGAAAGCAGTAGTAATCATATTTACAGAAATAATTATTGGTTTTAAATGGAACCTGTTGAAGCGTGTCTGAGCTGTAACGCCGTTCTGTAATAATGAGAGTGAGAGGGAGGAAACGAGCGAGTTTAAACTCTCTGAACCAGTCTGACTGCTTCAGCCTGAGCGCTTTGCCTCGAGGGTGATAGGGACGAACACTACATTTACTTCCTAGTGAAGGAGGGAGGAACCCGGCGCTTATCTCTTCCTTCACAGTACACACTGCAGGAATGCTAAGTGGGACGGAGTTGAAAAGGGAGCGAGCATTTACGAGCCCCAGAGAGCCTCTCGGATTCCCAACGTTCTGCACAAAAATGCCAAAAATGCACAATCATGACCTCTGGCTTCAGATCTGTGGCTATTTATAGAACCTGGTCCTTTACGCTCCACCTTTCAATCATCTCAGAATGCTAAGCCTCTCGACATCCTGCTCAGCTTGAGCTGCTTCAACTCAGTGCCTTTTCAGGCAAACTGTTGGAATCTGTCTTTGGGGGAAAAAAAAAAAGTCTCGGGTAAACGTTTTCCTGAGAGAACTGGCCGTACGGTGCTGGGTGAAGTGGAAACAGCCGGCTTCCTGAAACACACACACACACACACACACACACAAACACAGACAATAAGCAATGCAGCAGTGCTCATTATCTTGGCATGAACAGTGCATCCAACGCTGTGAGCAATGATTACCCAATTCACCTCAAATTTGGTCGTTACACACAAAATAGTGAGGCGTTTCCACTAATCTTAACGATATTCGGGAGGTAACACTGCAAAAAGACGTCTATCTCCTGAAAACTCGGCTGCGAGCGTCTAAGCTCACACACATTAAATACACAATTCCCTGTTTTCCTTTTTTTCTTTTGTTAGCTCACAAATAAGAGAAGCCGAAGGCCACCTGTTTAGCTCCACAAGCGAACTTCACTGATTGATTACATTTAGCCTGAGGTACAAATCTTCAGTATCGAGGTGAGATTAAAGCTGAAGGAAGTAACGAACACCGTGTGTGGCGTTGTTACAGTAAAATACGGAGTGACAGAGACCTACAGTTACCATCCTGAGGTTCCTATAGCAGCACGCCTCCACAGCAAATTTGCCAACATTTGGAAATTTTTTTTATTTATTAAAGAACGAGACATCTGTTTATAGTTACAGTCAACGTTCTGCAAAACTGGTTCCTGTCCTCACTTACGTTATAGCAGCTATAAAAAGAACGCAGCTTGTCGTGTTCCTGAGAAACCGCAAAGAAGCGTAAACTCCTCTGTCCTGAAGATGTCGGGAAAACTTCACGTTACAGCTTTACCTCTGACTGTTACAGGGCGCTGACACTGGAGACTCCTTCCACACATGTTACATAAACATCTCCTTACTTTAAGAAAACTTCAGCGCTTTTTAAAATCCGCTTATGTGGAGCGTCCGCTGTACAAGTCCCTGTGAGCGAGCTGTTACTATAGAAACGATAGTATTAGAATGAGCGCATTAATATAAACCTGCCGTTAACGTTACAGAAGGAACTACTATCTAAGCCGCTATGGCATCCGCTATGTTATACAGAAATCATTTATCTGCTCTGACCAATCAGAATCCAGAATTCAGCAGTGTGTAGCAGGGTGTAGGTTCTGAGATTCTCCTGGCCTTTACTGTAAAGTCAGAAGTTGAATATAACGAGTGTTTAGTCGAGGCTGTCGTGTGGCTGCTGAACGCGGTCAGGCTGGAACAGGCCCGGGCGCGTCGGGCGTCGCTCGCCTCACGCTTTGATCTTCCCTGAATGAAGTTCATCCAGAGCAGCACCTGATCGATCCGGGTGTGTTTCTCTCGTCTCTGTTTACGCCGCCTGGCTCTGGGCTTCTCAGCAGTCTGACTCACGAGCACCAGACGTTCTGCGGCTTACTGTCGTGGTGTTCAGTGCGACGGTGCTGTGGAGATTTCATTCCCAAATGGGACGGAGTCAGTCACAAAGAAATCTTTTGGGCGACTCTGATATCCTTTCTGTGTCGTGTTTCCCTTTCGAATTGTAACATGGCCTTTCTGTTCGAGACTTTGCGTTCTTACACAGTGTGTATAATCTACAGTATACTGCGTTATTTTTAGGGGTTTAACACAATATGATTTGATACCGATGCCGAATCTGCTACGACGATGTGATTCTATATGATTTATTATCGGTATCGAGCCTGTGTAGACCCACGGTTAGCTCATGGATGGACGATGACATGGAGAAGCTCTACTGTAAAATGATCACAGTTACGGAAAATCAGCTTGTCTTCAGCTCAATTATTTACGCATCAGTTTACAAAATGGTGTTATTTTTATATTATTTATATTATATTATATATATATTTTTTTACATAACCAGCTGTTTTGTTATCTTTGCGATAATAATCGATTTGCGATTTCTGTATTGATTCATTTCAATCGTTGCCTTTTAAATCAACGCATCGATCCAAAGCGTCAGATCGTTACACCTCTAGCTGTTTTAGCTTTAATGCACCATACTCGAGAAAAAAAAACAATTAATTCACGTTCAATTTATTCTAAGTTTGTGTTTTAAAAGGACACCATTCACACACACACACACACACACATACATTCACACACACACATTCACACGCTCTTTCTCACCTGGCGGGAATTTATCCTCCTACAGGAATTTTTTGGGAATCGAGAGGAAACTGGAGAACCTGGAAAAAAAACTCACACGGATGTGGGGAAAACACACACACACACACACACACACACACACACACACACACACACACATACCTTTATCATAATCACACTGATTGTTCTCTATGTGTGTGTGTGTGTGTGTGTGTGTAGACTTTTGGTGGTCTGTGTTGGTTTCATGTTTCCTGTAAAACATCTCGGTGTATAACAGACACAGTGGGCGGGGTTTAAATGTTCCACATGAGCGAATTTATAATAATAATAATAATAATATTAATAATAATAATAATAATAATAATAATAATAATAATAGAATTATTCTCTGTATATAATTCTATCAGTAAAACCACTGCACAGTGTTTTATGACTGTGTTGATAGTATAAATGTTATATAAATATAAATCGCTGTGTTTTAGAAGAATCTTTGCTAATGGAGGTTTGACATTTTTTTAAAGGTTTTCCAGGAAACAGAAATTTTGTGATAACGAACATTTCCTGTATGCTGACGTTAACGTGAGTTAGCATTAGCTAGCTAGCTATGAAGTTAGTTAACTTTAACTAACAGATCATTTTATAACTAACAGAGACAAAAAAGTATGGCTGTGTTTATTTTTAATTATCATTATTATTATTATTATTATAAATCTTTTGGCTACGTGTTATAAGTAAACGCAAGCTAACGTTTGTAAACTCGATGTAAATTCAAAATACTAACTTGTTTAACTTTTAACTAATGTCTAATTACCTTTCAGTGAATAAACGACTTCCTGTTTGACTTTTTTATAAATGTAATTATAATTATAACGCCTGCTGTTTTTAACACACCTGTTTTTTTTTTTTTAATTTTGACACTGAAATGATGGAATGATTAATGATAGATTTTCAGACATTATTGTATCTGTAGGCTAATATTTCAAAATTAATAATTAAAATTTAATATTTGTTATATAATTACAGGTGTAGGTTTTAGCTTCATTGTTTGGGTTTA